GAGTGAGACTGTCTCACAAAAAAAAAAAAAAAAAAAATTGAACCAGAATCTGATCAAGCTTCTAGACTGAGCTGCTCCTTTACAGAAGAGAAGGAGGACTATGTCCAGCAACATTACAGAATGCAAACAGCAAAGTCCACTCTGCAGGAAACTCAAATAGGATGTACAGCTGACTTACTTCAAAGCACAATTACAAGGGAAAAAAAGAAAATGGAAACCTATAAATCGAAAGACACTCAATATCACAATTAACTCAAACTACCTCAAAATGAATCACAGACCTAACTGTAAAATGCGAAACTTTAAAATTCTGAAAATACACAGGAGAAGATCTAGCTGACATTGGGTTTAGCGATTACTTCTGAAATAAAACACCAAAAGCATAATCCATGCTAGAAAAAAAAAAAAACTGGATTTCATCAAAGTTAAAAACTTCTGCTTTGTGAAACGCAGTTAAAACAATGAAAAGAAAACCCAGTGAGTGAAAAAAATACTTGCAAAATACCTATCTGATAAAAAACTCCAGCCAGGCACGGTGGCTCACGCCTGTATTCAATCCCAGTCTTTGGGAGGCCGAGGTGGGGGGATCACGAGGTCAGGAGTTCGAGACCAGCCTGACCAACATGGTGAAACTGTCTCTACTAAAAATACAGAAATCAGCTGGGCATGGTGGTGCGCACCTGTATTCCCAGCTATTCAGGAGGCTGAGGCAGGAGGACTGCTTGAACCTGGGAGGTAGAGGTTGTATTGAGCCGAGATCTCACCTCTGCACTCCAGGCTGGGTGACACAGCGAGACTCCATTTCAAAAAAAAGAAAAAAAAAATTGGACTTCAAAACAAATAGATTTTTTTTTTTTGAGACAAGAGTTTTCTTCTTGTCATTCAGGCTGGAGTGCAATGGTGCAATCTTGGCTCACTGCAACCGCTGTCTGAGTACAAGTGGGAGCCACCACGCCTGGCCCCTTCTTCCTTTTTTAAGTAGGGAAAAATTTTTTTTTTTTTTTTGAGACAGAGTCTCACTCTGTCACCCAGGCTGGAATGCAGTGGCGCGATCTTGGCTCACTGCAACCTCCGCCTCCCAGGGTCAAGCAGTTCTCTTACTTCAGCCTCCTGAGTAGCTGGGATTACAGGCACACACCACCATGCCTGGCTAATTTTTATATTTTTAATAGAGACGAGGTTTCACCATGTTGGCCAGGCTGGTTTCGAACTCTGACCTTATGTGATCCACCTGCCTCGGCCTCCCAAAGTTTTGGGATTTATAGGCGTGAGCTACCACGCTCAGCCACCATATATATTTTTTTTTCATTTTGAGACAGGGTCTGGCTCTGTCATCTGGGCTGGAGTATAGTGTTGCAATCGTAGTTCAGAACTGCAGCCTCAAACTCCTGGGCTCAAACGATCCTCCCACCATAGCCTCCCCAGTGGCTGGGACTACAGGCATGTGCAACTGCACCAGGCTAAGTTTTTGAGGTTTTTTTCTTTCTTTTATTTATTTATTTT